GGTTTACCTGTAGGGTATATCTATATAGCATAAATAGCGTAAGCTTCGCGATAGTTTCTAGTTTAATCTTCCTCTTGAAGATGATCACTTGGTGATCGAAACACATGTCGAGGTGTTAAAAATAGCGATTTGGTGTTGGGAAAAAAAACTCCAGTAATATTCATAATAGATCATGATTAACTGAGCTCTAGCCAATACTAATCTTTCATTAATAAAGAGAAATATCAGGGAATTCAGTTTGGATATCAGGTGTTGGCAATGACTATTCCAACTCAGGAATTCATCTACAAACTTTTGGGAAAGAAAGGTTTTGACTTTCTACTTCTCCAAATTCATCCAAAAAAATGTGGACATTTCCCAAACAGTGATCTCTCCTGAAAATATCCCTATTCAATTCATCTAGAAGCATACTTAAAAACTTCACTACTATCATCACATTTTAAAAATGTGTTATTTACATTGAACTGGTGTTTTTACATTTCTTTCTGATACTTGTGGGCATGAATATCCTGTTTTAATTAGTGATGAAAAATAAATCGTGATTATTAGAGAAACTGGAAGATTGATATTTGTGAGCAGTGTTTTGTATTTATTTGGACATGTGGACTCATATCCAACATTTTTCCCACTTCTGCAAACAGTGACCAGAAATTTGAGAGGTTTCCAGAGGATTGTTTTTTTTTTCAAAATGTATAAAGAACACCCAACTGTCTCCTATACTTGGACTAACGTACGGTATGAATTTCCATCTAATGCCTTTTTGCAGTAAATTGTTACAACTATATTTTTAAAAGTTGTTTCATATACTTAGTATTCAAACCAATGTATTCATTGCAACTATTCTAGCTTACCAGAACAGGGTTCACACTCCTTGATTACATCAAATTTTTCCTTTTCCCAGCAGGTGGAATTCTGTTCCACAATGAAATTAGATTTTCTGCTGTGCTTATTGGATTCTGTCCAATGTGATTCCACAACTAATACTAAAATTGTTAAGCTGTAAATATGCTATGTTAGATTTGAAAAAAACTAAAATTATATTTCAGCTTACAGCCCCAACAATGATATTCCCAGAACCATACGTTTCTTAGGGCATGATTCAATCATTTTTATTTTCTTTTATCATCAAGACTGTCATGAAAACTAGCTCTTGTTCTTCTAAGTGAAAATAATAAAAAAATAATTCAATTAATAAAATGATGTTCTGTCATCTGATAGTTATTAATCAGCTAAGTTTTCTTCTTCTTCTTAAGCCGTAGTATTTTGTTACTAGTTTTTTTCCAAAATCGAGTAAAAACGATGTTTCTGACGTCACCATTATTCGACATGAACTTGGCAACTTCCGAAATAAGGAAGCATTTCATATTACGGAACAAAGACTTTATATTTGGAATTTAGTTAAAGAAATATTCGATTGAATGAGAAGAGTTTCATTTCTGGTATGGTGGTGGACGGACGTGCTGACAACGACCGTCCACAAAGAAGATACCCGGACGCCATTTTTTGGAGATGAAACTCAGTGTTGTGTTGTGATCCGCCGTCATAGAACGTGCCACCAATAAAATAAACATTATTTGTGAAAAGTCTTATAACGCTAGATGCACACACACCGATTTTGGACGGCCGACTTTGTACTTGTCCTCCAAATTCTAATAGTGAACCACATGTGGGAACGGGACCTTGCACACACGCCGACCGGTGATCGTCGCCGGTAAAATACCGGTGAGCAGCCGTCCACTGCCACTGTATCGCCGGCATAAGTGTTGAAGAAAAACAGTACTCTCATTCACGCCGGATGGAGGCCGGAGGACCGGATGTCCACGTGGGAGAGTTACAGTGGAACTACATAACTCCTAACCCCATTCACGTCGGTTGGAGGCCGGAGTGGATCCGATGTTCACGTAGGGACTGGATTTTGTCAATCATATGTGTTAAATTATGTTTAAAAAGTCAAAAAACTCCCGAGCAGGAGGCGAGTCAACAAAAAATATTGAATGTTTCCATAAAAAAAAGGTTTGATAAAAAAGGGGTGGCAGGATTGCTTCGAGCAAGACCGCTGCGCTCCGACGAAGTTTCTATCAATTCTGATAGGAGGAGGATTAACGAATGCGCTGAAAGGAAGCAACGTTCAATAAATCTAGAGAGAGAGATATTGAGTAATTGAATTAGAATAATCATGTCATATATTCGGTCGTGTATTTTTTTCTGCTTCACAAATATCATGTGAATTTTGGAACATGATTTGAAAGGAAGATAATTTTAAGTGGCATTGATGTCACAGTCATTTTTGAAACTTCTATCTTTTTTTGAAATGGAAAATTTTGGATGTTTGCTTTAAACACCTAAAAGTAACGAGTCATAATTGACTATACTTGATGTCATGTATTAAATTGTTGTTTAAAATTTGAGCCAAAAAAGACGACTTTTAATAAAAATGAAATACCTGAAATATTTCGTTCTTCGAGACCGATATAAATATAAATAGTCTGGGTAAGACAGTAAACAATCGCATGCACCTCCGAGCAAACTAAAATAATCCAAGAAATATGTCTAAATTGAGACGTAGTAAGCGATTGATGCAAAAGACCAAGAACAATTATGTCATTAATGGACCTGCAGGTGGAGACGTTGACGTAAGACAAATCCGAACGTCAAAACCAGCGAGTAATTTTGAAAAAGTGATCACTCAATGACGACAAGTACTACGAGTGAAAAACTGTATTGAATTGCTTGCATCAGCAAGCAATTCAATACAGTTGGATTTAGAATTAGCCATACAACTGAGTTGAATTGATACCAAGAGTGAATCTAAGTCGGTGAAGGAATATGTGCAGCCTAGAGTGTTCCGAAAGTAGAACATAACAGGTATTTTGAGAAAAGTGTAAATACTTCACACGAACAGAACGTAAGTGCTTCACATGAAGAAATACATTCGAATTCTAATTTTATTGATCCAAATATTTCGACACCTGATTTTAGAAACTAATTTCAATATAGTCGTTCTTGAAATATAGATGCATTTTCTGTAATGAAAGAAAATGACCTTGATATTTCAATTGATGTTTCTGACGGAGTGAAAAATTTCATTGCCACCTTGGAAACAGAAGTTGACAATCAATTAAATATCCCCTTCTTTCGAAAGAATCGGTTAATAAATTCCCTTCATATTAAATTTAATAAACTAATAGAATTCCAAAAATGGTTGTAATCTAAAGGAAACGATACGAATCAAATCAATTTAACACATTCCCTCAAAAATCCTAAAGTTTCATGTGATTATAAACATGATGACTCTCAAAATAAAAATTTCAGTTTGACAACTGTCAACAAAATTGGTGGTGACACGAAAAGAAAAGCTTTTGTTCTGAAAAAAATACATTTTCTGAATGTTTGTTCAGAATTCAATAAACTGGGCGTTCAAAAATGATGGAAATTTGTAACTTAAAAAAAAATCATGTTTTCATGATTATTACTATATCACAGTACCAGTGTTGATAGAGATCAAAAAGTATGTGGAATAAACATGTGTGTAGGACCCCATCATAATAATTTGTTGCATAAAAACGAACGAATGAATTCTTCAGTCGATACGGAAGAAGCACAAGTGAAAGTCCATCTGACTTTCAGTTCAATTGTCATATTATTTTTTCTAATAAACGAGTTTTATCGAAAATAATACTAGTTTTTATCAATAATGGTAGGAATACAATAATGACGACACATCAACTGTCACATTAATCAATGAAGACCTTGCAAATGAATTAGATTTGGATAATCTCCAACAGAATCTTTGCATACAGTGGAGAAATAATCAAATGAATGAACAGGGTGATTCAATGGTAGTAAAGTTTTACTGTTTCAGGAATAAATGGTAGTTAGACATGCAAGAACTATTAAAGGTCGGTCAATGCCAAAATTTCAAAAAAATATCCATTCATTGGTGAAGTTTCATCTGTAGTAGACACAAAACCAAAAATATTAATTGGTTAATACAGTTGGCCTTTACTTTCATTAAGAAAACCCATCAATGGGCACTCTAGGAATTGTTTGTTCATGGGAATATTGATAAAGAATATTGTATTCTTGTGGAATCAATCCACTGAGTAATTCATTTGTCAAAACAAGAAATAAAAGCAAAAGCTATTTTGGACAGTAGTACGAAAAAAGTGAATAATTTAATGAAAACTGATCTGCTCTGGAAGGATGACGACTCGGTTCTGCAAGAGAGCAAGACTTATGCTCGTCGTAGACTTTGTTGCAGTGGGGTAGCGTTTAGACTTTTTTCTTCTTTATTAAGAGAAGACAATGGATAAATGCCCTCAATATCGAAAAATATAGGGTGAAAAAATAGAGTATTTAGTAAAGAAGGCTATTTGAAAAAAATAAGTCTTGAATAAATAAAAATTGTCAAAATGTATGGTATTTACCTAACTTTAGAGTTATTAATCCCAACATAATCAATGAGAATAGTATTCGACGCCTCTGCTAAATCAAATAGTAATTTGAATTACTACCTACTGACTAGCCCAGATCTATACAATTTTCTTTTCCCTATTTTTTTTTGCAGAATTAAAAAAATTGAATTTGTATCAGACATCAAGGAAATGTTTCTTCGTGTAAGAGTGAATGAACAAGACCGCTGTGCACAAAGAATATTATGGAGAACATCAGATGAAGGTGAGGAACCTGGACCTTGTCTTGCTCAAGAAGCCCAGAATGAAAAAGATAGGGAGTTTATCGAAGAATATCCTCAAGCAGTAACAGCAATAGTTGAAAATGATTACATGGAGAACTATTCACAATTAACATTTGGTTTACTAAGGATGATGCAGCCCTGGAGATTATTGATAAAATTCTACTTACTAGAACAAATGAAAGATTTTATGAAGAACGGCAATACAGAACGCATTTTGGGTTTATGATAGAATCATAAAAATTATATTTTTGAATTTCCAACAAAGTTTCATGAAATAGGCAAGTCAATATTGAAAAATTCTCCAGAGGGATTTTTCAATATTTTTGACTTGTGAGGTTTCTGATAGGTGGATAGGTGGATAGCAGGTCTAGAAATTTTTAAATACTCTGAAGTGATGTAGAAGGTAGAATAATGACAAAAATTCTCAAGGAAGAGAAATTGGGAGTAAATGAAGAGGAGCAGTCCATTATATCAGAGACTTGTTTTGCCTGGTTCTGAAATATGTTCAAATCAGAATAGATTTTTGCGTTTAACAGCATGGGTGTTGAGATTCAAATGGAATTTCAAAAATCGAAGGAAAAGTTTTGGGAAATCAAAATCCTTCGGAACTGTCGAAAAATGCAAAACTATCATTTCCCAAAAGAAATCTCAAAGTCAGAAAATGGAAAACTGATTCTTCCAGATAGTAGGTTTTCTCAGTTACCACCAGTTTTGAATAGAAATGTACTCATATGTTTGGAAGAGAAATTGAAAACAATGCCTTAACTCTGAATTTGACTACAAAGAAGCCAATTATTCTGGATCCAAATACCAGAATAATTTCATTGATCATTAAAAAATACTTGAAACATTTTGAGTAGTGCATGTGGTACAAAATGGTTTGAAAAAGTGGAAAAATCAAAGTAGAAGTCGTGGTTATTATGATAGATTGCACCGGTCCGAGAAACACTTGGAAAAAAGGACTGGTCAAAGTTTCATATCCATCCAAAGTCGGGACAGTGAGAATAGTCCACATAAAAGGTTCTAATGGAGTCATATATCGACGTCCCTTTTCCAAATTAGTTTTCTTAGATGTAGCCAAATTTATGAAGAATAATGTAATGTGTCTGTTTTATAGAAGAGTGAAATAATAAAAACCATGCCAGTACCCATATTTCGAATAACTACGCAAAAGAGGCAGTAAGATGAAAATTACAATCCATCTAGGTCATAAAAAAGGTCTTCCCAGTAGGAGACGACAATAAGAAATGGGAATTGACCTAATGTGAACAGGAGAAAATTGATTGAAAAACATGTAGCAAAAAAACATGAGATGATAGCTTTGCCTGGAGCAAGACAACTGCGACCCACGACCATATCATAAGGCCTGAAAAAATATTCTGTTCTCCGACGAAACTCCTGTTATATTGTAATAGAAGGAGATCAAAGTAGAGAGAGAGAGAGGTGAAAATAGTTGGTTTTCCCTCATCCCTCAGAGTAATGAAATATCAAGAGGCACTTTACCTATTTGGCTATTGAGTGTTGTTATGGATTGCAACATCTATCCATGCTTCAATGACCACTTTATTGACGTTGAGATTGAGTTTTTTATTGGGAGCCAGAAGACAGTGAAGCGACAGTGTTTAAGTTACATTGACACTTTACCAGTAATAAACTATGGGTATGGACAAGTGTGATGTTTCAGTGTAAACTCGAAAGGAAAGGCTATTCAATTGTATTGTTCTGAGACACAGATATCCCAAAGAAATAAGAAGAAGAATTTAAGCCGCTTATGGTTAGAATTTATAATCACAAAACTATTTGATTTTGTTGTTAGAATGCAGGAAATGTAGTAATATCCTTGAGAAGTATGAATATTGAATTGTTTCCTAAAGATTCGTTGGAGTGATGTTATTGTTTAGTTAAACAACTATTGATACCAATAAAACTGAGTCATAATTCTACGAATCCAACTATCGCCGGAAACGGGTTCCAATTCAGTATGGCTAATGTGGATTAGGAAAAATCTGAATTAGCATGAAAGAAATAAAGAATTTGAAAGACAAAGGGTCAAATAAACGAAAATTCTTCAATAGTTGATACTTTTTGGTGCACTGGTTTTACATTGAGCAATGATGCTTTATTTTCAAATAGGATTCACTTTTATTCTACTACTTGCTGTGCTAGAAGTACATGCAAATGTTAACGTTACTGTGAAAGTTAATAAATGTTGCGAAGAAAATGAGATATATTTGGGTCGATACTGTATGAAGGTAAATAAAACCAATGAAGAATGGAGGCCTCTCTTTACAACTGATAAAGGCATTGGTAATCTGCAGACCAACTACACGTAAGTATGACTTATATTGGGTTTATATATCAATCCAAACTGAGAAATATAACAAACTAAGCAGGATAGGACTTTATAATGGGAACACTTCTACAGTTTAACTTTTATTTACTACACTAAGTTGTAGTTGTTTTCACAACTATTGAACTGTAGACATGAAACCGGAGAAGAGACTATTTGAGAGTTTTTCCGGGCATACTTTCCCGGGTCGGAAATTACAAATCTAACACCGGACTCCTGGGCGAATTCAGAACTGGAGACCCTGAAAAGGGCATCCAGGGAGGACTGGCAAATGACAAAGAAGGTGATAGATTTAGAATAAATTAAATGGGCTGTAAACTCATTTCAACCCTATAAGTTGCCGGGACCTGATGGCATATACCCAGTAATGCTTTAAAAGGGACCAGAAATACTTAAAAAAAAATTGTGTATAATTCTCAGGGCAAGTTTAGCACTGGGACACATACCAAAAATTTGGAGACTGATCAGGGCCACCTTCATTCTGAAACCTGGGAAAATCGGACAGAACTCGGCGAAGGCCTAGTCTTATGTCATTTGCTTTGAGAACGCCAGAAAAACTACTTGATAGGCATATCAGGGACGTATCACTGGCTATCAGACCATTACATCAAGACCAATATGCATACAGGTCAGGTATGTCAACAGAAATGGCTCTATGTTGTCCTTAACCATCACAAATTTTAGTCTTTTTTATTTATACATAACATTTTACCATTGTTTCCTTACTTGTCATAAATGTAATTTACAAATAACATGATCAAATAAATCTATCTATCTATGTCTGGTAACAGAAAAAGTAGAATATACTTACAAAAACAAGGAAGTACTTTTAGCTGCTTTCTTGGACATTGAGGGCGCATTTGATAATATGTCATTAGAATCAATCATCTAGGCGTCGAGGAGAAGAGGGATCGACAAGACAAGCTGTAGGTGGATAGACTGCATGCTTAGAGGAAGATTGGTATATTCAACCATTATGGGGGAAACAGTCGTGGCGCGGGTAGCAAGGGGCTGTTCTCAGAGGGGGGTTCTATCCCCTCTGTTATGGAACGTTGTAATGGACGAGCTATTATGTCTCTTGGACCACAATGGGTATAAAGCACTGGGCTATGCAGACGACTTAGTCATCTTAGTCCAGGGTAAAAATAATAATGTAGTGAAGGGATGCATGCAGCAGGCCCTGAATATTATAACAAGATGGACCGAAGAAGAAGGACTAAAACGGAGGGTCTCGGACCTCTAAAACTTCGAGGTGAAAAAATACAAGTGTCGGGGGAGGTTAAATATCTGGGAGTAATCCTAGATTCCAAACTGACCTGGAACCAACACTTGGACAGGATAAAGAGGAAAGCGGAGTTAGCACTGATGCTCGCAAGACGCACCTATGGAAAAACATGGGGGCTAAAACCAGACATGGTATATTGTCTATACACGATGGTGGTTAAACCCATGATAACATACGCATCTCTGGTCTGGTGGCCAAAGATGACGCAGGCGACTGCCATCAACAAACTAGGCAAGGTGCTAAAACTTGCATGTTTGGGAATGACGGGAGCAATGAGAACTACCCCAACAGCTGCATTGAAGACACTCCAGAATCTACCTCCTTTACACCTTGTGTAATGGCCTCCCCAGGAGGCCATTACACAAGCCTCCCCCAGGAGGCCAATTGAACTTGGTTACTTTGGCCCCAATTCGAAATCACTTCAAGATCCTCATTAAGTGTGACAAGTGTGCTGTCGTCAGCACACTTGTGTGCTGTTTGTACAGTTTTCTTTTGAGAAGCAGCCTTTGCAATTCCAGCGACATGATTGTGCCAATCTTTCTTCAACCTTTGTGTTATGATGTGCCGGTATCCATGTCTTGTTGATGTTTAAGCTCTCTTCCTTACAAATGAATTCATTCCTTTGTTTATGTACTTATATGGTCCCTTCAGAATAGCCTGAAATAGTAACCTCTGCGTGCATTCGAGGGTAGCCATGACATTTCCTTACCACATTCATTTACTTAATCAAACCTGACTACATTAGTTCTAATGAAGCTGTGAAAACTACTAGGAATTGCAAATAAAACTTTAATTTTTAAACCCCTGACTGTATCTGGTGGACTACTGGTTCATTACTTCCTTTAATTCTATTGGTATTTGGGGAGAGTTATTTTAATTTGGCATATTTTAAAGAAAAAGAATACTTAATACTTTAATAAATGGAAATAACAATCATTACCTAATGAAATGTTCATCGATACCATATTTTCTTTGCCATGTATTAAAAAGTTCCAGTGTTTCACGTGAAATACTTATCGAATGAAAACCTACTGATTTATGAAATGAGAGGTATTCATGATAATTCATTATTATTGTTCCTATTTCAGATTAGTTACAGGATTACCAGACTGTGGACATATGCAGTTATGGCCCATTTACCATTATCAGAATTCAACGGATCGTTTGAGACTATTACCCAATGGTATCTTGAGACATTACTTTGATCATTCTGAAGTTCCTGGTGATGAATTAGACTCAGAAGTCACTAATGTTGGAGGACCATTCCATGACTACGAATATGGAAAATATTGTTTAGATAAGGTAAGTACTGAAGAAATATTTAAGTAACGCTTTATTCATACAATAAAACTTGGAGACCTTAAAATTTTAGTTGCAGATAGTATTGAAAATTCTCCCTGCACGAATTCCTTAGATCTGTATATCGAAAGTAGTTTAAATTCAATAAATATGCCAGATTTATCATCTAAGCACTGTTAGGTTCTTAACTGAAAGAGTGGGTTTTTTAGCTGAAACTGATTCATTAGTGCGTTCAATGAAACCTTAACTAGAAGTTTCTAGAATTTCCACAATTTCTCTTTTTTCTCCCTTCTGCTTCGTTTACTATCCCTTGCTGTCTCATTTATCAACACTTTCTATCTGGACAACTATTGGTTTGCTGCTTGAAGAGAGATGTGATAATAATAATAATAATAATGACCTCGGGGTGTAACAACGCCACTCTTAAGAGGTAACAGCAGTGAAGAACTCTCCGCTGCAAGTATCAGCACAAACTCCAACATCGGAAATGTCAAGAAAAAACAAAGTTGCTGCTATGAGCATGCTTGCGATTCCAATCTTACTCTACTTGTTTGGAGTAGTGAAGTGAACTCGTGAAAGCTGTATCAACTCGATGTAATGACCCGAAAAATGATGCATACCCATAGGAGTTTGCATCCCAAATCGTCCGTTCCATGGTTGTACTTTCCTCGATAACAGAGAGGACTTTTGAATTTGAAGTATCTCCATGACAGAACGGTACTGGATGTAGCCTGTAAAATCATCAGGAGTTCGGATCACCTTCTCTGCATGATCCATGAATGAAAGACGAGAAATTGGAGCATTTCTTTTCAGGGCAGCTGCACGTAGGAGCAGCTGGTGAACTGGATTTAGTTTTCGGCACTGAACGAGATGATCACAACTCTGTCACCGAGTTGGAACCCTTTCAGCAAAAGGCCCACTTAAAAGCCGCAGAGATGATCAACAAAATTGCCCTTACTTTTCGTCACATCTTTTTTGTATTTACATCCCACTTTATGAATTCATTAAATTCAACTCCCAAATATTGAATACGGTCTGTCTGTTTCTTCAATAACTGTATTTCTCCATCAAAGCCTTGATTACTAATCATTGAAATAGGAAGCTTTTTTCTGATTGCAGCAGAAAATGAAATACAGGGTGTTTTACAATTGGATCCTTATCCTGAAGAGCAATAATTCTTGGATGATTTTGAGAAAAATTCTTCATATGAACATAGGTCTGCAACCGCTTTATTTATTTATTTGGTAAATGAAAAATACACATAATTTTTTTTTCGTGGTTAAAGTTTTCTCAGTGTGCATCAGGTACGTTCCTGTTAACATGTCCTGCCATATTTTTATTAAAAATCATGATACGCCACTGTCCTTTTTCCAAATAAATATATTTGTAATTTAATTAAATAATAGGGGACCAAGCACACTACCTCGTGGCACTCCTGTGTGATTTGTTATATATGATGAGAAATAATCGTTTACATGTACTCTCTGTTTCCTATTTGATAAATAATTACTTATCTATTAATAAACCATCCCCTCAATCCCATATCTTCTCAGCTTCTGAAGCAAAATACTTCTATCAATCGTTTCAAAGGTCCTTTTAAAATCTAAAAAGACAGCTACAACATATTTACCTTAATCTGTTTCATTAGTAAATTCAGTCAAAGATAACTGTAGAGCTGTTTCACAAGGATGTTTTTTTCGAAAACCAGATTGATTGCTAAACATGATTTGATTTTTGTCAATAAACTCTAATAATTCAAATCTCTTAAGGTAATCAATCTGAAGGTGCTAAAGGGCAAATATAAATTATAATCCAAATTGAACCATGGCTCGGAATTCTCAATACCTTGGACTATATGTTGGATGCTGTTTACAAAGTATAGGTTGAAAGTTTCGGCCATGTCAGGTTCACCTTTTTTAGTACTTACTACTCCTTCATCTCCAAATTGGATTAGGTTAGGAAATGTATGATCATTACATGATCAAGGGTTTTCAAAGTTTTCCACATCAAGTGATAATTATTCTTTTATCTGTCTATTTTGTTATGATAATACTGAACTTTCTTTATTTTCAATGAGTTAACCACATCGTTTCTCAATTTTTTTTTAAATTTTCCCGTCTAATCATTTTTAAATTTTCATCTCCCACCGTAGTCACAAATATTTTATAGGCTTCATCCCGTTTCTCAATTTTGATAAAAACTTCATTTTCAAACCAAGGAATATTGTTTTTGAACTTACTTATTTGTATGGGAGAAATACTATCGACAATATTTGAACATTTTTCGAAAAATTCTTCATAAAGTAAATTAACATCTATAGAGTTTAAAGACCAATTACAAGAAATGAGCTTATTCTTAATTATACTCAAATTATTATCACAAAGATTTCTTGTATTTTCTTATTGACTTTCTTTGTTAGTTTGACTAAAGAGAAAATTGACAGAAATAATTGAGTAATTGTGGGCTTTCCATTCATATATTTGATGGTACTATTGTTATCCCCTGCTGCAATCATTTCATCCAATTTAGATTTCACTTTACGGAAATACTCCCTTTGTTTTGGAGTTTGGTCATTAGATATTTTCACACTGGGTATTCTTATTAATTGTTTATTCTTCAATATATGTCTGGCATCATGTTGTGATTTGAAAATAACCTTGATGGGTCGATTTCTGTTAATTGTCGGTTTTCCCAATCTGCAATGTTTTATTTATTCCTCATCGACGTTGAAGTCCTGCAGTATATTATTTATGGTTTCTCTTTCTTGTGCTGATCTTTCAGTGTGGAGGTTTCCCTTAGGTTCATTCACATTATAAATGATAATATTGGCCGCTCTTGATTGTCTGTCTATAATTTCTGATATTAGATCTTCACTTCCAAGCAAATTATATTCCATGTCAGAATGTGAGTTGGATACACTCATGTCATCAACTTTTTTTCGCAATTTTTCATTTTCCTCTTGAAGTATTCTATTTATCTCCATAATATCACTTGGCTGTTTTATGAGTTTAGGCATTTGCTTGATATTATTCCTACATAGCTCTAAGTTCGGTACTTGTAAGTTCAGTACATGTTGAATGTACTACATCATTGCAGCAGTCACATACGACAATGTCTTCCCCTTCTAAATCCTTTTCACACTTATTACACAGTATTTTACTCATTTTACTCACAGTGAAGACAATTGAAAAAGCACGCCACTGGAAGGGTGTTATGAAAGATGTGGCTAATTTATACTAGCTATACTATAAGAATACTATAATAATCATGGCCTACTTACAAAATCCATTTATTAGATTACACAATTCATATGGTACCAAATTATGGTCGCTGGATTCATGTTTCTAGATACTAGAATACAATATGTTACTCTTCCTTGGCATAGATATTTCTAAAAAAAGTTTTTTATAAAATAGGTAAATCTCATGTCTAGCTTTTATATCATATACATTGAGTAAGGTAATAAACTGATGGGTTTGATTCAATTCAGTGTTTTTGGAGGATAAATAAAAGCTTGTAGTTTACTGATTTGATTTTGTTATTTCAATTGCATCTATTTGAATGTAACTCCTACTTTTGTTTTTTCAGAAAATAGATGGCCTCAGGAGCGAATTCGCTTGGGTTTGTGCCCCTGAAGTTCACACGCATTGGTTGACAAGTACCGAATTTCTGATGCATAATGTCATCAGCCCTGCCACACACGGTATTTCCATAGCATGCCTCCTTGCCATAGCCGTTATCTACTTTGTATTGCCAACTTTACGTGATCTAACAGGAAATATTGTTACGACAATATGCATGTGTCTTATAGTGAGTCAAACTGCTGACTTGATAAGACTGTTGACGGTTTTCAAGAGTCATATTAGCTTGCTCATTGCAGGTAAGATCATCGCAATGCCATTATTCACTTGGTAGTCATTTTTAGTTTTTAAATTAGTAATTGAAGTTGGACCCCCTTCCTGTTGACAGATTGATTTGAAATTTGATACACACATTTAGTTTTGATGATAATACAATTTAATAAATTCTATATCATTGTAAATCCAAGATGACCGCAGGTACAAAATGGCGGATTAAATATTGTTTCACAACTACCTTAATACGGGTATCAAATGACAGGGCTTGACTAGTAGAATAGTAGTACACTTTGAAAAATATGCAAATTCAAGATGCCCGCAGCTACAAAATGGCGGTTTACATATTACTTTGTAATACTGAGGCACTAAATGAACTAAACAGAATTAGAAGAACTGAGTAACAAAATCATAATCTAAAACTTAAAAATGACAGTAGTGAAAAAATTTCTGTTGAACGTTTTTATTGAAAAAAAAAAGATAATGATTATATTATCTACTAAAAACTAAAAAAAAATCGGAAGGTCCTAGGTATTGGTCATCACACCATACTCTGCAGCAATCTACGGTATTGTTCAGATGAAAAAATTATAAAATCGTTTGGCGTAGTATTCACACATTTACTCAGGTTACGCTATGCCCAATGATTTTATTATTTTTTATCTAATCAATATCGTAGATTGCTGAGTAGAGTGGTGTGATGACTGCTACCTAGGACCTTTCAAATTATTTTTTAGTTTTTACAACTTTTTCTACATCATTATTATCTATTTTTTTTAATAAAACTGTGGGCATAAAACTTTTTTTTTACTTATTTTATTGTATTATGTATTGAAATACTATTTAAAAAACGATTTATTTTTTCAAATAAAATTTTCAAATAAAAGAACAGTTCAGTTTCTGGCAGAACGTCTATGAAAGTTAACAAGTTTATCTGATTGACTGTGTCATTCAGATTTTTTAGCTATAACTTGAGACACTGTTCAAAAACCATTGTAATTGTATCATCCACATTGCATCAATAATAAAATAATGTAAACCTCTTGAAACTTTTATAAATTGATATGCCTGATTCAAAGTGTAATCATAAATAACAAAATCAAATCTAATTATATAAACTAGAAATATCTTCCTTGATTCTTTATTGCTGACCCATCTCATGCAATCAATTGTGATTTTATTTTGTTACAATATGTATTTGTAAATATGGTTAAAAGATAAAATGTATCATTTTCAGAAACAATATGCTATTTGAGCATGCTCGGTGCCTTTTTTTGGTTGAATAGTATGGGTTACTATATTTGGAAAACTTTCAGGTGAGTTTCGTATTTGAAATTTACATATTGTATCAGTCCACATAATGTCCAAATTTGTCTTTCTTTATTTTCAGATCAAGGAATGTATTTTTAAGAATTACAGATGGAAAAAAGTATTGTTACTATTGCAGCTATGCTTGGTCGTGTACTATAGTTTTGGGATTTCTAGCAGTTTTTGCACATTTTACAATGGACTATCCTGACGTACAGTACACACAAAACTTAACCTTTGATCAACAGAGAGAGCAAATAGGTAAAGTCACATTCAGCTAGTTATTACAGTTTTATTAGGTTTTGTAATTACCTACTTCAATATTAAAAAAAATTTAGAATAGTTTGATGTACCAGTCAAACTAATGAAGCTACCGTGTAACGAAATGTGCCTTGTATCAAGTAACATCAACCTCAACATTCCTTCATTACCTGTTTCTCTACACACATTCTGAGGTTCAGATGAGCATATGAACGTCTCTCCCACATATGGGAGTGGGTGGAGGGGAGATAGGATAGGTATAGGAGGGGTAGGAGGAAAAGCATGAGGAAACTGAAATGTTGAGCCCCAGGATATCTGCAAATGAAAACGTCACCTATAGCCCTATGATAGGGTATGGGAGACGCCCCAGCTGATGGTGACGAATGGCTCTCTGCCCAACAGTTTTATTTCGTCCTTTGCTTAAGGCGTCTCGCTTCTTGACGAGGCTTACGCGAGAAATGTCAGGATGTCGCACTTCGATACTTGATGGAGTACTGTTGCTGTTATTCAGTATTTAGGTTTGCCTATAGCCTCCTGGAAAATATTCATGAAAAAAACCAGGTTAGAATAGATCTCGTATCACAGGTGACCCGTGAACTATCCTAGTTGGTTTTCTCATGAACTAATCGCGTATGCGCTGTTCATGATAGATAACTAGCGGTTCATATATCAGATTGTGTTTACGGGGCTGATCATGCTTCTATTTGCCGTGACATTCCTCGTCAGCGGGCCTTCGGTAAAAAGAATTTGATGAAGAATTTATGAGACAGGCTTCTGATATTATCAGTGACCGTCTCAACTCCTGCCAGATCTAACAGGTCATACAGTGAAATGTGTCTGTCACTATTTGTGCAAATACATAGCACCTTATTCTGAATCATCTTGAGTCTCCGCAAAGGAGCAGTCTTGAGGCTTCAGATTACAGGACAAGCGTACAACATAGCTGGTCTAATTACTTGCTTGTAAATTAGCAACTTGTCAACACTAAGCCACAAGTTCCGTGCAATGAGCAAATACGCGCGTTATACCGCCGCACCCGCTCGTTGGATTACCAAGCTCCCAGATATCGCGCGTGTTATAGTTGTATAGTGATGTAGTCGGAGTTATACATTTATTATTTATTACTGATTAATTAAACATGTACATTTTCAATGTCCATTTTTATTAATGACGCATCACCGTTGCTGTCAACCACATTGTTCACTGGCCTGTTTCATGGAACACGGAACATACATAAATAGAACTAAACTTAATCCTAAGTTACACTATCGTGACAGCGCGCGTCTCTGTTCATCAACGCAGTCAGTCACCCTTGATTCGCAACTTCCCTAAGATCTTCACATTCCTTAATTTCTTCGTGAAATTAACGTGTTCCGTCTTCTTTGGGTTAATCAGAATTTTATTCTTCTCGAAATACGGTACGACTAACCTGTCGAAGTGAATCTGAAGTTATTGCTGTGTCATCTGTGTATATACCACATTCGTTCTCGAGAACATAGAAAAGTCGTGCATATACAAGTAGTAGAGGTGCGGTGTCAAGCAGGGCCCCTGTGGAACACTTTATTTAATTTAATAATTCTCAGATGTGGTTTGGTCCCCTCTTACGAAAAAAAGTCAATAGCTCAGGTAGGATTCAAGAATACTAATCACAGGGATCCCACATAGGCCCATTACTGTTCAATTTATTCATCAATGATGTCTCCACTGTTTTTACCTCCAGCTCATTTCTGTTTGCAGATGATTTAAAGGTGTTCAAATCAATACAAAATATATCAGATGCTCAGGCAACTCTGTGAATGATAGAAGAACCAGAAATAGTGATATTTTTAAAATTCCTTTTTGTAGAACCAATTATGGTCAGAATGAAACAATATGTAGGATATTGAAATCTGCAAATTATTACCATCTTAACCTGGAATTGTTTAATTCATCATTATTATCCTTCAAAAAATCGAATAAAAACATCTGATGTATCTTTAGTTTGTAAGCACATGTACAAATTATAAAAAGATATTTGTAAAAATTGGCTTGTCCGTTGAAATAAATAAATAAATAAGGGCATGCTTGCCAACCACATCTTGGCAACGAATTCCTCTATCTAAACTCTATCGAAGGCTTTCTTGATATCCAGTAGGACCATAACTGTATTCTTCTCTTGGTTGAAGGATACCTTCACCCCGCGAATAACCCGGATCAGTTGGGAAGTCGTATTCCGGCATCGCCGGAACCCGAATTGCTCCTCAGGAGTGAGCTTTATCCTATCTTTCAGGTGACAAAGTCTACTCAAGAGAATTTTATCCATGACCTTTGCCACCGAACTGAGTAGCGAGATCGGTCGATAGCTGTCTATAAGAGATTTAGTTTTTCCATTCTCATGGATGGGTACCACCTCCGCGTGCTTCAGCCAATCCGGATAGTGTTGGTGTCTGATAGTCGCGTTCATGATGTGTACTAGCTGTACGAGACCCTTTCGCGGCAGGTTACGTAGTAACCTGCCGCAACGTGCACTGCGTGCACGTTGTCTTTCTCCAATATGGTTGTTCAGACTCTTGGTCATCCTCCACAAAGGGTGGTCGTGCACAAGTCGAGTTTGTCCTTCCACCTCCTATTGGTGAACTCATTAATGTGCGGGTTGACCGCCGCAGTAAGTCTCAACATCCTTGCTACGGGGGTCGCGTGTTCTCTGCAGGCCCTTGCGCATCCAATGTTTTTGCCTAATGAGTTCAACGACATTAGGCGGAAGGATGTCTCAATCGCCTTTCAGTACGATCTTCCTCTTAGATACATTTCTAAAATATTAGCATCAAGTAACGGGTCACTGTATTCATAATATTGAAAAAGTGACAAACAAATTGAACAATATTTTTTTTATAATCAAGACAGTTTAATAGAATTACCAATTCTCATACACTACTAGAACGAAATTCATGAAAATGTTTTTGTCAAATATGTATTTTTCAATATCCTCTCATTGCTAAGTTCTAAAAAAAATTATACAGACAGAATAATTATAAGGGGCTATCACTGTAATTTTAGATCAGTATTAAAAAGATTTGTCTAGTGAAACGAAAATTATGTTAGTCAACCGTACATCGAATATAAAATAACGATTTTTAGTGCTCCAGAAAGTATATGATTATACTAGTGTTCTGAACTTTGTCAAATGTTCATTAACGTTTTTTCTAGGTTCTTTGGGTCTCATCATATTCTTCGTACCTGTAGCTTTCACTGTAATTGCTGATGTATTTTTTTTTGCCACTACTATGAAAACAATAAATAAAATGCACACATATGGAAGAATCCACCATAAACTACGTCACAGGTAAGTCTGAAGTAGATATTCTACAGTGTAGAGTGATTGGAGGATATCACCCAATTATAAACTATAGTTAGGTCAGTTGTTGAAGAGAAGCTCTAAACAAGCTTTCTTTCCCAAAATTTTGGGAATAGAGTAGAGGGGAATTAAAAATGTCTGTTAAAGTGATTATCGCTATCAATGCTATTTTATTCATAATTTCACTGCAAAATATGAAATCTTCAACAAACTTGTAAAATGTAACCAATATAAATGGCCATCTCAACCTCATTGACTACATGGCCACAAATCTAAAATGAATTAGTTTAATGTTGTTGTACTAAATATTGTTGAATACCTAGCTCATATTCTTATATATATTATTCTGAAATATTATGTACATATTAGGAATATCAGAGAGCTGGATATAATTGAAGTCAATAAAGAATTGAATTGATCACACTCATGAAACCAAATCACTTTCTTAATTATGCATTTAAGGCAAAAGTAAAATGAGCACAAAGAAGGGGTTTCAAAGGAACAAAAAAAAAGGAAATAAGAGATAGTACTCTAGTATAAAGATATAATTATTTATGATCCAGATAAAGTTATGTGTTATAAATGCATCAGTTAATTTATTTTGGTTAAAATATCTTCCTTCCTCATATTAATGCAGAAAATGCCACCCTGATATAGAATATGACTTATTATTATAAAAAAATATAGACTCATATAGAGGCAATTCAAAAATCAGTATGATAGAACACAGAATGTTATCATAAATCACCCAACAGAAAAGAAATTGAGAAGTGTCCTAACTTTTTTTTGATTATTTTAAAGTTTTATAAATTTTATTGTGTTTTGTGTTGAATGAGATTTATTACAATATGAAGTGTAATTTTTGAATTTGAATAAAGTTTGTACTAACGTTGAAAATATAGTTAAGAAAATTGAAAGGATATAAGTATGATTTTGATTTGACTTTCCATAATTTCCTTGATCCAAATGCTAAAGGTGAGACTATATTTCACTTAGATGATTGGTATCAGTTTTCTTACTCAAGCATAAAGGTAATCGTGAGATGAAGGCCATCTCTGAGAAGAGTCTTTTTTATTTATTGTAAGATGGCTTTCATCTCAGTCACCTTCATGCGTATATGTCATAAATAGTGAATAAAAAGTATTATTGTTTTTTTAGCTTTCGGATGTTTATTCTACTACTGCTTGTTATGACTCTCTGGTGGCTGTTCTTCCTGTCATCGTTTTCTAAATATGAAGGGCTAGTCAACTGCCACATAATCATTAATGCCTTCCAAGGACCCCTTGTGCTCTACGTCTGCATCTTCAATCAGAAACACGTTGCTTACCTAATTCAGAAAATGTGTTGTTACAAAACATTTCCATGTTGCCAGCCTGATCCTGAAACTGAGTGGGGAGATGAGATGACAGCCATGAACACAATAAACAATTGCTGATTAAGTTGAACACGATTTGAAACTGAATAAAGAACTTGAGTCAGTTTATGTATTGTAATAAAGGACTTCTACAGGGTACCGAAGCCAGTGAAGTATTTTGCTCTCTCCGCCCTTAACAAATAGGTTGATCGGGTAACATTTTTAGAGTACTCGAATACAATTTACGAAATAATTTATATAGACAATAAGACAAATTAACCAATACATATTCTTGTGTGAGGTAGTGATACTGATTGCAGCTGGTTACTACTTTCATTACTTCTCTCGAGTTATATTAAACAGAAATTTGTTTAGAATATTTTTGACAAATTGTCGAAGACATGCTTTTCTCTTAACAAAATTCAGGGGGATCTTGAAGGAAATAACCAGTTTTACATTAGGTTTTTCAAGTGTATAACCTAATGTTTTTATTTGATATTATGAATTACTTGTGGCTGTGATTTGGGACGGAAAAACTGTCATGGACTGATGGTTTCAAATATTTTCCATATTGATGCAGTGTTGAGTATGAGAAATTGTACAGTGAAAAAAACAAAATCAGACAAGAATATTTTCTAATATTGATGCAGTGTTGAATATGAGAAATTGTATAGTGAAAAAAAAAAAAACAAAATTAGACATGAATAGTTAAAGTGCGTTGTAATGGCACTCTTTCCTTGTATTTACATCTACTTGAGCCATCATTGTCAGCCATGTTTGAAATTCAGATGGATGACCTGGTAATTCAAACATGGCATTTTTCCCAATCACCAGAAATGCAATACTCTTCTCGACGCGCGTTTCTCTAACCAAGTTGGCATCTTCAGGAGATGACGAAAACTTCACTCGTCGAGAAGAGCATTGCATTTCTGGTGATTGGGAAAAGTGCTTGTTTGCTTGACTAAATTATGTACTTTTCTTGATCTTGGGAAATGCACTTCAAAAAGTAATCCAGCTTATCTCATATAAATCCCAAAAAACTTGTACTTTGTCTCTGGGAAATTCTTGATAAGAGCTATTTTGAATTGATTTTAGAGGCGCGTTTAGTATTTATATCGGAAATAATTTGATGAACCTTTAAATATCATTTGTTATTTTCAACAACGATGTGCCACTCCTCTACCGCAGTCGTTTTGAGTTCTCCCAGGGTCATAGGGGCTAGTACTCTACCTCTTACAACATATTTTGAGGTTGTCCCAAATGTGTTCTATCAGGTTAAGATCGAGACTGCGTGCCAGCCATGGTAAAAATTGAGTCACGACCTCATTAAGGTACTTGGTGACGGATCTTGCGGTACGGCACCGTGCATTATCATGCATTAATGGAAAATTGTCACCAGTGAACTGTGCAAAAGGTATGATGTGGTCTTGAAAAACCTCTTCCATGTATCTTTGAGCATTCACATTACCTCAACAAGATCAGTACAAGCCGCATAAGAGATACCTTCCCCAAACCATTAGGAAACCTCCCTGGTAACCCAGTGTTTCTGTTACAGTGCATTCATTTTGGCGCCTGTAGACACGCTGACGTCCATCTGGACCTCTTAAAGCTACTCTTCTCTCGCCTGAGAACAGTAAGTCCTTCCATTCATCCACTGTTCAGTCAGCATATTCTCGTGCAAAAGCGTCTAGCTCTACGGTGTTGTGGAAGCAGTTGTGGGGCACGAGCTGGACGAAAAGCCCTTAGATTTTTTTCTGCCAGGCTTCTTATAACGATACGCTCACTCACACGGACATTTCTCTCCTCAAAAAGACGTGTACGCACTTGAATAACGGTGCCGAAGCGATTTCTTAACACGTTGCTGACGACGAAACGGTCATCTCGAGCAGAAGTGCATCGATGTCGGCGTTGACTTGGCCTGTAGGTATATTAACCTGTCTACTGAAATCGTCTGATCGCATCGTACCGTGCACCGTAGTTCGAGGTACACCGAGAGTATGACTTATGCGACGTTTGCTGTACCCAGCATCAGCCAAAGCCACTGCCCTGGCTACATCAGTTGTGTCGAGTAGCATTTTTTACAGTCACAAACAATAAGGGAACTCAAATTAAACAATACTTGCACCCTATAGCAAAACAGAACAAGAAATTATAACACAGAAACACAACTGCAACAATGTCAAACAACGACTAAATTGCAAAAACCTGTCGGGGAGACAAATTTAGAAGACGAAGTAATGTTATAAGTGTTTAATTTCACACAATTTCACAAAAACAAAACAAATGACAAGTCATAGTCAACATAAAATATACAGGGCGACGAATGATATAAGTGGGCGGTTAATTGTGCCTGTGAGTGTATAAATTATTTTTGTTGTATGATAATCCAATAATGTAACAAAAATTGAACAGATAGCTTATGGAGTAGCCACATTTCACTATAAATAATATGTCATGTGTCAAGTATACTATATCAAAATGTACAAAATTCTTTGCACGATCACTACAGAATTCGATCAAAGTAGATATCTATAAATAGTCAAAGAAACTAGTTGATTTCGGTATTGACTTGATACTTTTTATAGTAAGGAATTGATAGCCTTATAAAACTAGAGAAACACTATAATTACTATTGCCGATAATAAGGGACATATACTTATATAGATTTTGAAAATATGGTTCAATTTGTAGAAAACAGGGTATAAGGGGCCTTGCTAGCTTATAGTTTACTAATATAGTCGTTGACTACTTTTAGGCTATTCAAAATTGATTGATGGAATATTTTTATTTCAAACTTTCAGATTGTATCTTGACTTACAGTGAATGAGAGAAAAGTAAACAGTGTGGAAATTATTTAATTGAAATAACTCTTGAATGAATTTTAAATACCTATTCCAATATGAATAGCTCACAATACATAACTAGTGTGTTATTTTACTGTTGGAAGGTCAGAGAGCAGAAGGACATTTTGTCACATGAAGTCTCTTCTGCTCATTGCAATATAGTACATGAATTAATTACTAGATCTACTTACTTTTGTAAAAATAAAATCAGTTTGTTTGTTATGAGATTGTACTGTGGTTTTTATATAATATTTAGGCAGCTACTGCAGTATTAAACTGTCTTTAACTGACAATGATATAGTTCAAACCTTTTTTCACTACTAGTTATATTCATATTTTCTAAGACTTTTCTCATTCCATATTATCTATTTTATATTTACTCACTTATTTATGTTATTGATCTTAAAAAATGTTTTTATGTACTTAAAATATGAATAAAGCTTTTTTATATGTTTCTATCATTTCATTTTGTATATATATACTTTAACACTGTCAGGCTCTTTACAAACAGTTTCTGAGGGGTGCAAGGGTTAGGCGGGAGGAAGGGAAAAGGTGGAGCTTGCAGGTAGCCAATATATGCTCATAAACACAATATCGGCACAGAAGCAACTCGACAGACAGTGTTGGTATGTGAAATACGTTGTAATTGTGTGTTTCTATGTTTGAGGTTGGATTATTGCTGTTTTATTTCGGTTTAGTTCACTTCGTAAAGTGTAAGTTGTGCTTAGTATATATTAAAAGACAAATAGAAGGTTGTTGGACGATATGAATATGGAAAGCAAACGTTGTTGGAGAGACGTTGGCCCTAAAAAAAGAACGAGTTTGAGTATAAGGCGCATTAGTGCAAAAACAAGAATCACTAGGCTATCCAAATACAAGTA